GTCCAGATTCGTCCGCGCCACCCATTCGGCGCACCCCTCACACGTTTCGTGGTCCCACAGGGAGCTCCACCGAAGGCCCCAGTGGCGGTGTTCACATGCGCCCGCGCCACCCATTTCGGCGCCCTCCTCACACGTTTCGCGGCCCTTTAGGGAGCCCCACCGAAGGCCCCAGTGGCGGTGTCCACATGCGTCCGCGCCACCAATTTCGGCGCACCTCTCACGCGTTTTTGTTTGGCCCCATAGGGAGCCCCACCCAAGGCCTCAGTGGCGGTGTCCACATGCGTCCGCTCGACAAATTTCGGCGCCACCGATGACAAGATTCACCACTGCGGTAGTCTCAACTGCATATGGTTGGGCCTTTCGCCAGGCTATTTTTATGGTTGAATTGGTTTGAGTATTTTTCCCAACCATCCTGTGGTGTTGGGACCTCGTTTTGAAGAGACGGTGCCCCGCGTTCTTCTCCTCTTTTTTTCTCCTCCTCCCCCTTCTCCTTCGTCCTCCCTCCCCCCTTCCTTGCCTCCTCTGCCTTCCACATGTCCATTCCTACACACCCCTCACGCGTTTCGTGACCCCATAGGGAGCTCCACCGAAAGCCCCAGTGGCGGTGTCCACATGCGTCCGCGCCACCCATTTCGGCTCACCCCTCACGCGTTTCGCGACCCCATAGGGAGCTCCACCGAAGGCCACAATGGCGGTGTCCACATGCGTCCGCGCCACCCATGTCGGCGCACCCCTCACACGTTTCGTCGCGCCCTAGGAAGCTCCACCAAAGGCCCCAGTGGCGGTGTCCACATACGTCCGCGCCGCTCATTTCGGCGCACCCCTCACACGTTTCGTGGCCCATAGGGAGGTCCACTGAAGGCCCCAGTGGCGGTGTCCACATGCGTCCGCGCCACCAATTTCGGCGCACCCCTCACACGTTTCGTGCCCCCATGGAGAGCTCAACCGAAGGCCCCAGTGGCGGTTTCCACAAGCGTCCACGCCGTAAATTTCGGCGCACCATTCACACGTTTCGTGGCACCATAGGGAGCTCCACCGAAGGCCCCAGTGGCGGTGTCCACATGCGTCCACGCCGCCCATTTCGGCGCAACCTTCACATGTTTCGTGGCCCAACAGGGAGCTCCACCGAAGGCCCCAGTGGCGGTGTCCACATGCGTCCGCGCCACCCATGTCGGCGCACCCCTCACACGTTTCGTGGCCCCGTCGGAGCTCCACCGGAGGCCCCAGTGGCAGTGTCCCCATGCGTCCGCGCCACCCATTTCGGCGCCCTCCTCACACGTTTCGTTGCACCATAGGGAGCTCCACTGAAGGCCCCAGTGGCGGTGTCCACATGCGTCCGCGCCACTCATTTCGGTGCACCCCTCACACGTTTCGTGCCCCCATAGAGAGCTCCATCGAAGGCCCCAGTGGCGGTGTCCACATGCGTCCGCGCCATAAATTTCGGTGCACCCCTCGCACGTTTCGCGGAACCATAGGGAGCTCCACCGAAGGCCCCAGTGGCGGTGTCCACATGCGTCCGCGCCACCCGTTTCGGCGCACCCCTCACGCGTTTCGTGGCCCCATAGAGAGCTCCACCGAATCCCAGTGGCGGTGTGCACATGCGTCCGCGCCATTCATGTTGGCGCACCCCTCACACGTTTCGTGGCCCCATACGGAGCGCCACCGATGATTGTATTCACAACTGCAGTACTCTCAACTGCAGTATGGTTGGGTCCTTCGCCAGGCTAATTTGACTATGTGTAGCTGTTCCTGCAAGATCCACCTGTCGGAGGACATGCCCGACCTACGGCTAAGGGGGGGGCGGGCGCGCGCAGAGCGGGGCCGCGGCCCCTCGCGGGGCCGCCCACGACCCGCTTCGACGCGGTTCGGATCGCCAGCGCCGGGGCCGCGATTTGCGGGTTGTGATTTTTGTCTCTTGCAGGGGTGCGGTGCCGTGTCCGAGGTGCCCTGGCGGGATGTCGCCCCCCGTCAGGGGCCTGCGAGAGAAGCGTCCTGATCGGCACCGCACCCCGCCAGTTTTTCGCCATTGCCCGTCTACTGCGCGCCGACAGTCGGATGGGTTTTGATGTGTTTACGACGTGTTGCATGGTAGCCGATTCGGCCATGTGTTTTAGGGAAGCGCGAACACGGATGAGGGCGCGGGGGCCTGGGCAGACGGGGGTCCATGCGAACGGGGGTCAGTCACAGCGCCAGACCTTTTGCAGGATCCTGCATCGCCAGGGTGTTACACTGTGGCCCGACTTTGGGTGCAGGATCCTGCAGGGTCCTGCAGGATCCTGCAAGGCCCGACTGACCCGGGTTTGGATTGATCCGGGCCAGTAGACTGGAGGTCGGAAAGGGGTGTGGCATAAAGGGGTATGGGGCCAATCGTGGAGCTGGCGATGCTATCTGCGATGAATAACAGCGCCAGATTCCCCTCGACATAAGGTTAGCACCACGCCCATTTATACCGCACCCCTCTCCTGCCTCCAGAAGTAGGTCCACGAGATTCGGATTGGATTCGGGAGCTTGGTGATAGCATGCCCCTGAGCTTGGTGCAGGCCCGCCGCGCTTCGGAGCGAGCGACCCGCCCGCTCGCCGGGGCGGGGGGGGGGGGCTGGCGCCGGGCGCGTTGATCCGCTTGCTTCGGTTCGCTTCGGGGCGATTCGTCGGCGATCCGATTCGTCTCCGATCCAATTGTCAGGTATCGCCTGACCGATCCCCATCCCCATCCCCATCGACATCTCGAGCCTCACCGTCTCACCACCTCAGTTGGGGGTATGCCCCTTGAAACCCGAAGAGAGCAGCCTATATCCCCTATCCAGGGACCCTTGGCCGGAGTGACCTTTAGTGTTGGCACTAATGGGGTCGGGCAGATTTTCTTGAGGAGTGCGCTCGGCCTCGTGTCGGCGCACGCTGCACCAGTCTGCGATCGCATCAGAGCGCGCTTGATTCAGGGTGCGCCCCTCGCAATCGATCGCAACGCATGCACGGTGCATTCTGCCGCGTGCTTCGTTTGGCGAGGGGGGGCGCAGTCGAGCGGGCGACGTGCTCTCCGCTTTGGGACCGGTCCCAAATCGTCCTGGAATAACTTTGATTAACTTTGACTAACTTTGAATAACTTTTCGCATTCCGCGTTTTTCAATTCAATTCTTTACTATTGAAAGTTATTTGCGGCCGCGGGGGGGCCAAGTTTCGGCCCGGTTTCGGCCTTGACGCCGGACCCAGTCAGACGTCATCGCGATGCGACCCGGCAGTGCCAGAACATTCCGCGGTGGTGCCCGATTACGTCTGGTTTCGCAGAGCCCTCGGGCGGGTGTTCTGGGGCGCCCAGAACGAATCGGCGGAAGTCCGCAAGTGCCTGCTGGCGCTAGGGATCTATCGAAGCGCGCCCCACCGATCGTTGATGCAATCCGACGGCCTTCGCTTGCGCGGTTGCTTCAGGCCCCCACGGGCCCCCCTTAAGGCCGCGCACCAAAGGGCACTCTTGAAGACTCTTCACCAAAGGGCACTCTTGAAGACTCTTGCCTAGGGTCACTCTAACGTGTCGCCGAGGTAAATCGGCCAGTGGGCCCAGCCCAATCGGTTAAACGACGCTCAAATTGATTTCACAGTTCGAGCAAGCTCAGGCTTGCCTCATGTGTTCTCCATTCGTCCTCGCGTCTCCATGGTCGCACTACTTCCGTTTTGAGCGTGATGGTCTTCGCTTGTGTGTTCTAATGCGCTCCGGCGCTCGGTCAAGGAGTGATTCAACGGGTGGCCCAGCGCAGAACTGAGTGCGTTTTCGGGTTTCCCAGGGGGCTCACGGTGGAGGAGTGGGTTTTCGCGGTTCCTAGAGGAGGAGTGGGTTTTCGGAGTTCTGGGGAGGATTGGAGGACCCTCAACGGCTTTCGGCGTCCTCAACGGATCCCCGATAGAGGAGTGGGTTTTCGGGGTTCCAAATGATTTCGGGCCTGGTGTTATGATGTTCCTTGATCACCCGAAAAGAGTAAAAAAGTATCGAAACTCAATGGTTTTCACGTGTCGGGCCCTGGGAAACACTCGTCCGACATTGTTTCGACACTGTTTCGACACTTTTCCGGGTGCTCGAAATTACTTTTGTGATGTGGTCCTGAAGTGCGATGGGAACAACATAAGCTTGGGGGTGTTGTCCACCAGCGGCGCCTCGTCGGCAGCTTTCCTGGGGAACTCGGGATGGTCGCGAACGGGCCGCTCGGGGCATGGGCCGAGCAGGTGGCGGCCCCGTGGAGGTGGGAGGGAAGCGTTTGCCATGCCTCGGCGGTGGTGCACAGTCGGCGTCACCCCAACAAACTTGCACTATATGTCCGTCGCCCCCCCAGGGGC